GGGTCGCAGTGGGTTTGGAGAGGGGCGAGAGCCAGGACCCCAGCAAGGAGCCAAGGCTAGGAACCAACCCTAACTAGGATGATGTGGGACCTAAGGAGCAAGGGGACCTCACGAGGTGAAAGCAGGGAAGGGGAGGAAGGGGTGACACGAGGATGAGGGCACAGCGGGCTGATGGGCTGCCTCAGGGGCACCGAGGGGAATGCAGTAGGGGCCGCAAGCAAGGGGCCCTGGGTCCAACCCGACATGAAGTAGTGCCATGCGACGCCATGAGGCACCACATGACATGACAAATGCGGTCAGAGACCCAGGCGTGGAAACAGGCCTGGGGACTGGAGTGCAAAGTGTCAATATTTAGGGAGGGCTGGGTTGGGGTAGGGGCAAAGCATGCAAGGCCACAGGGCAGGGGAGGGAAGGGAGAGGATCAAGCAGAGCAAGGACTTCACAAGGTCCATGTCCATTGCCAAGTGTCAGGGGTCAGACAGCCAAAGGGGCCCAGGCGAGGGGCAGGGCTCTGTTTCCCATAGGAGCCTTCAGGGCCCAGAGGCCAGCCAATTCCACTCCTCTGCCCGAGGTGAGTAGATTCTCACATAAGGCCTGGGCCAAAGGAGGGCCAAAGGAAGGCCCTTTGTGGGGAAACCCTGGGTCCAGAAGTGGGGGTGGGAGTTGCTGGGTGGTTGGAAGCCAAGACCCATTGGAGGAGCCCTGGCTAGGGAGAATCAGGGGAGTGGAGGGTCCGGGCTGTACCAGGATACCACAGCACAAGGGGAACAGAGGGGCAGCACAGGAGAGGGTACGAGCAAAGAGCCTGAAACCAACGGACAGGATTAGGGTCCTCAAGCAGGGCAGCTGAGTGCTCAAGCAAGGAGTCAGGCCCAGGAATGTAGAGCTACGTTCCAGAGCCCTGGCAGGGCTTGGGAGAATAGGGAGGGGAGAGAGGGAAGAAGGTGGCATAGGGGGAGGAAGCCTTGAGGTTTCAGGGTTGGGCAGCATAGACCAGGCTGAGGGAGGCAAAAGGGCACAGGCAAGGGGCAGGGCTCTGTTTTCCCAAAGGGAGCCCACAGGGCCAAGAGGCCAGGTCAAGTGTCCTGGCTTGGGTGATCATCCTGGGAATGGATCAGGAAAGAGAGCTTAACAGGGAGAGGGACCACGAGGCGTGGGGGGGCTAAAGGATGGCACAGCAGGAAAACCTGGAGGATGGGTGCTGGTGGGGTGGGGTTCAGGAGCACAGCAAGGAGCCCAGGCTAGGTTTCTAGAGGAGGTCCCTCAGTAGGGGAGAGCAGGGAAGGTCAAGGTTGTGCTGGCAGGCGGCACTAGTGGACTGCAGTGCAGGAAAACCAAGGAGAGATGGAGAGCGGTCCAAGCAAGGGGCCCGCAGTCAATGCGCAGGGTCACGCTGGACAACAAGGACCACCAGAAATTCATGTGAGGAACCAGGCTAGGGAATGGGGAGCCAAGGGCCAGCGCTGGGGCAGGGGCCTCGGGACAGCGGACAGGGCTCGGGAGAGAAGGCAGGTGATCCAGCAGCGGGGAGGCAAGCTTGAGTGCCAGCACCACTGCCAGGTGTCAGGGTTCCGAGTGCAGGACCATGGGCCCAGGGAGAGCAAAGGTTCCCAGGCGAGGGGCAGTGCTCCGTTTCCCATAAGATGCCTTCACCTAGATTAAAATCAAAGATCAGCATCCTGGCAAGGTTGTCCTGCTAGGGACAACTGCAGGAGGATGGCACAGGAGGGCATTGCACAGGCTCCTGGTGGGTGCAGAGAAGGGCAAGAGCCAGGACCCAAGCAAGGAGTCCAGGCAAGGGACCGACCCGACCAACAGAGGGTTATGGACCCAAGGAGCAGGAATCCTGTGCTGTAGGGAAAGCACGAGGGAAAGGAGAGGAAGAGGAGACACTAGGGTGAGGAGACAGAGGGCAGCATAAAGGACACGGTGGGGAATGCGCTACAGGGTCCAAGCAAGGGTCCCCTGGGTCAGACCTGACACCAAGTGACACCACGTGAAGCCACGCGACATGAGAAATGCAGTCAGGGGCTAAGGTAAGCGGCCAGGCCTAGGGACTGGATCATGAAGGGTCAGGGTTAGGGATGGATGGGTTGGGATAAGGTCAGGATGCAAGGTTAGAGGTCAGGGGATGGAAGGGAGGGGATCAAGAAGGGCAAGGTTGTCCCTAGACTCAAGTCCACTGCCAGGTGTGAAGGTTCCAGCTACGAAAGGGGCCCAGGCGTGGGATAGGGCTGTGTTTTCCATAGGGAGCGTTCAGGGTGCAGAAGCCAGCCAATTCCACTCCTATGCCCCAGGTGAGTAGATCCTCAGAGAGAGAGACCAAAGAGGAACAAAGGAGGGCATTGTAGGGGATCCGGTCCTTTGGGATTTGGGGAGTTTCTGGGGAGCCAGGACACATTCGAGGAGAACAGTCTAGGGATAAGCAGGAGGATGGGAAGGTCCAGGGAGTTCCAAGACACCACAGTACAAGGAGAACTGAGGGGAGGCACAGGAGAGGGCTTGAAAATGGACCTTGAAATCATGTGACAGGGACAGGGTCTTCGAGAAGGATGCCCGGGGGCTGCAACAAGGAACCAGGCCCAGGAACAGAGAGCCAAGTGCCTTGGTCCTGGCCAGGGTTGCATGAAAATGGACAGGGCTGGGAAGGGTGCCTCAGTGGTAGAGCACACACCTTGCATGTATGAGGCAGTGGGTCAAATTCTCAGCACCACATATAAATGAACAAGGTCTGTCAACAAATTAAAAAAACCTTATTTTTCAAATATTCAGAGTATTCACTGAGTATTCAGTGAGAGATTTTGTAAACCTACTATCTAGGTCTACCTCTGAAAAGCTGTTTGACTGTTGGTGCACCTTAGTGGTAGATCACACACTTGGCATAAAAATTTGTCTTTGGCTCCTTCAAGGTAAGGACCGCAGAGGTTCTGAGAAAGAGCAGACATGGCTGGGTGCAGTGGTGCTCACCTGTAATCCCATCCACTCGGGAGGCTTGAGACAGGAGGATCGAAAGTTCGAAGCTAGCCTCAGCAAGGGCTTGAAATTAAGCAACTCAGTTGAGACTGTCTGTCAATAAACCACAAAAAACAACATCTGTGTGCAACTTGACCCCCAGCATGAAGGGGGGCACAGTATCCACATTGGACCAAAGGGCATGTGACAAGCTCTCGGCCACTGAGTGCCTCTACCAGGATTGGGCACAGGGCTATCTCCTTTCACCCTGTCCATCGATATAACCCCCACGCCCCAGAACCCACAGACAGGTATTCTGGTAACCCTCTCCTGAAGCCACACCCCCTTTGGGAAATCCCTTTTAGCCTGAATAATTCCCATTACTTTGCTCTCACCCTACTATCTGTGAATTCTATCCTTCAAAGTCACAAGAAAAATCCACACTGTGTTACAACATAACCCATTGGTCTACAATTGATGTTAAGCAAAAACCATTGGTGTTGGCTAGGATGTAGGGGGGAAAGGTACACTGGAACACTGCTGGTGGGACTACAAATTCGTGCAGCCAATATGGAAAGAAGTATGGAGATTTCTTGGAAAGATGGGGACAGGACCACCATTTGACCCAGCTATCCCTCTCCTCGGTCTATACCCAAAGGCCTTAAAAACAGCATACGAAAGGGACACGGCCACATCAATGTCTACAGCAGCTCAGTTCACGACAGCTAAACCATGGAACCAACCCTTATGCCCTTTCATAGATGAATGGTTGAACCAAATGTGGCAATTACACATGAATCAACTTGTGGCACTTGCAGGTGAATGGATGGAGTGAGAGAAGGCAATGCTAAGTGAAGTTGGCCAATCCCAAAAAAGGAGGCTGACTCAAAGCGGGATGGAAAGTGGGAGCAAGGGAGGAACAGAGGAACTTTGGACAGGGCAGACAGGTTGGAGGGGAAGGCAGGGGCATGGGGTTACTAATGATGGTGCTATGTGACCATCATTACTATCCAAAGGACAAGTAAATGCACGAATAGGTGTGAATATACTGTGCTTACAACCAGAGATCAGAAAAATTGTGTCTGTATATATAATAAGGATCATAATGCATTCTGCTGTCATAAATAAAAAGCAGTGAAATTCAAAGAGAAATCAAGTGTGTCATTTTTAAAAATGAAAATGGGTAGAGTGCATACCCTATCTGTTAGCAACTAGAGTGTTCTACAGGATTTCCCTCTCTGGACACGAGGCAGGACAGTTAACCTTCTTAACCTTCCACAGACGAGGGTGCCTTGCCTGGGGCTCGGGAACATGCATGGAGTCTTTGAAAAACAACTTCAGAGCCACCTATGGCGGCACATCAATTATACCGGCAACTCGGGAGACCAAGGGAGGAGTACCGCCTAGTTCAGGTGGTGCCTCAGCAAGTCGGGCCCCAAGCAACTGGGGGGAGCCTGTGTCCAAAAAAAAGCTGGGGATGTGCCCTGTGGTAAATCACCCCCGTGTTCGACCTCCAGTATCAATCAGAAAATCTGTAGTAAAGACACCCTTTATTCTTATCACTATCCTAGGAATAGTCATATATTTAGATGGCATTATGTCGAATTGGGTACAAGTCATCCGAGTGATTGAAAGTATAGGAAACATGTGCATGGGTCATGTGAAAAGACAGGGCTCCAAAGGACCTAAGAATACCATGTGTTACAATAGCCAGGAGGCACCCTGAAAACACTCCCCTGCCAATACCACAGGACAAATAAATATCCAAACTTAATGGCATGGCTGAGGTTGTAGCTCAGTGGCTCAGCACTTGATTCTCATGTGTGAGGTGCTGGGTAGACCCTCAGTACCATGTAAAAAAAAAAAATTAATAAGGTACCCGAGGGGGGAAAAGACAGTGCGCACATCTACAACTAGGGGAAAAAATGTTTAAAGAGAACTTAATGGCAGGTGTCGGTTTGATATTTGTGACTCAGCCACTTTGGGTGGTGAGAAGGGGAAAAGCTTAATCACATTCAGGAATCCCATATTTCTTCAATCTCATTTATTCCGTTTTTAAGACTTCACATTCTTCCTAACTTCTTTGTGGGTCCGCTGGAGTCCTTACCGGGGAAGGTCTTCTTTCCCGTGCAGATGCGAATCAGGTATCATCTCTATGGACCAGTTGAGCCTAGGAAAGAATGAGAAGCAAAACATTACCTGAAATCGATGGAAGAGACAGTCTTACAAGCCTCCGTAGGAATAGATCTCTAGTATCCAGGTTGTGATAAAGCTAAAGGTCTTCATTCTGAAATCCTGTCAAGTGACCTCCAACCCCCTCCCCCCCACACACTCAGGGCCAAGGCTTGGGAGTTGGGGAGACATAATCAATGCCAAAGCTCAATCAAGGGAAGCCTTTCGCCCTGCCAGCTCTCTGCAGGGTAGGCCAAGGCTGCCTTCTCCAACAGGGACACTGGTCAAAGTCAGAATGACATTCGCCCCGCCCACAGGCCCACTGACTCCCCTCGAGATGGGGAAGTGAGAGCCCCACTGGCACCGTGATCCCTCCAGGTGGGCTGCCCTCGCTGGGTGCCTTTTGGCACCCGACATCAAGGGTCTCACAGCCCTCCTCTGTCTTCAGCCTAGGGAGCTTAGGCGGCATCAACTCACCCGTCTTTGCACCACCGCTCAACAGCAGAAGGGGCGGGTGAGGGACCTCACACCTCCAGGGTTCTGCTGTCCCAATCTCTTTAAAAATTCTGCCCTTCATGTAAATCAGACGGTCCTCGGCGTGGACTTCTTGGAAGAGGCCTTCCACCTCATAGATCCATTCATCCTGGCTGTCCTCCAAATCCTCCAGCGCGATGTTGTAATCGGGGTCTCCCTTCAACACACAGATGGCCCTGCGGTTTGGAGAGAGAGCAATGGCTTCCTTCTCCCTGTTCTGCGCACCCTTCTGGAGCTTTGGGCTGCTTGTTAGGTGATCACTGGCCTCCCTGAAGTCAGCTTCCAGGACCACCTCTCCGTCTATCCTGAACTTCCTCCTCTCCTCTTCTCCTGAGGTCTTTTTTCTCCTCAGGGATCCCCCAGTCGTGGAGCTGGCCTCTGCAGAGGCCTCCTCAGGGGCGCTCCCTTCAGACTGCTGGGACTTGATTCTGTGAGACCCAGCCTGCGGCCCAGAAGCAGAACAGGCACTCTCGGAACACCTCCAACTCCACTTCCAGTCCTTTGCTCCCAGCTCGTCCTCCAACCGAAACCGCCACTTCAGATAGTCCAGATTCTTTTTAGAATCATATGGTTTAGTCTCTGAACCAGGACCAGAGACCACACATCCCAACAGGCGCTTCTTCTTGGTCGCCCTAACATCCATTTGGATCGCTGCTGCAGAGACTTGCTTGCACTGTCACTAAACAAAACACACAAAAAAAGGGCTGGGGATGTGGTTCGGTGTTCATGTTGCCCTGAGTTCAATCCCTGGTATCACAAAGCAAGTAATCTCTATACTACTGAAACTGTACAGGAGGAGCCAGGAAACGGCTCCATGCAAACAAACCACAGATAAACACACCTAGAGATGTCATGGGATCTACAGGGGAAACAGACATTAAACCATCTAAAAGAGGACAGGGGGAAAATACACGGTTGAACAAATCACATACAAGCTCTCAGAAACCCGGCAATGATAACTATGGCTTCAAATATTCCAGAAGATTACCATCTGAGAAGGAATTCAAGAGAAACCACTTCCTTCACTGACTCACCTTATGGTGCTAGGAAATGATCCCCAAGCTTCACTGACCTTCTGAAAGCACTATGTCACTGATGACACTCCCCAGACCTGACCCTTTTCATTTCTTGTTGAGTGGAAGTCTATCTACCCAGCTGGCCTTCAAGTAGGAATTCTGGCCTTACAGTCACTTGCCTCCTCACACCGGGCCACATCCGGGGGCAAATAAATCAGAAACCACACAGATGTAAGGTAGCATCCTCAATCACAGGGATATAAGGAATCTCTCTGGCCCTCATCCAAGGAAAGCATAATACACTCAATGTATTCACTTGACATTCACAGAGACACAGGACTGGGTACACTAAGACAAAAGCTTTGTCAAACTTCACAGGAGGTCTGGGGTTCTAACCCAGTGGTAGGGCACTTGCTTAGCTTACTTAGTGTGAAGTACTGGGTTTGATTCTCAGCACCGCATATAAATAAAGGCCCCTCGACAGCTCAAAAACGTCTTAAATAGTCAATAAGAAAGTCACCCCAAATCCCCCCATACTCGGATACTTCAAAAACTCAACTATTCCTGACAAGAACGAAAAATATCTAAATGCGGACATAGGCCAGGCACAGTTGCACACGCCTATCATCCCAGCAGCTCAAGAGCCTGAGGGAGCAGGAGCACAAGTTTGAAGCCAGCCAATTAGCAAGGCCCCAAAGTAAGGCAGACCCTGTCTCAAAATAGAAATAGTAGTTATGCACCCGAGTTCAAACCCTGGTGCCAAAGAACTACACGAGCTGGGTATACAGTTTTCTGATACATCACCCCTGTGTTACATCCTCATTATCCCCAAAAAACGAGAAAAAAAAATCTTCCATGTCTACCCTCTAAAGACTTCCTGGGCCTAAATTTTGCAGGTGGTGACATTTAACAAAGGGCAGGCGGCAGAATGGTAGCTTGGGCCTGTGACCCCACAGCAACTCAAGAGTCTGAGGCAGGAGAATGGCAAGTTCATGACTAGCCTCAGCAACTTGGCTAGATCTTAAGCAACTTGGAGAGACCTCCTCTTATACAACAGCCTGAAATGGTCGTCAGTGTGAGTTCACTTTCAAGGCTGAAGCACAAGTCTTCAAAGCTGGATGGCCACAATCAGTATTATAAAACTGTGGCAAAGACAGAGGAGTCATTGCGATGCATGTCTCTTCCAGAAGCCAAGGGCTGTCATTCAGGATGTAACTCAGTGCCAGAGATATTGCCTAAGATTCCTGAGTCCCTGGCAATTCTGGGTTCCATTCCCAGCATGCAGCAGTCTAGGAAGGCACTAGGAGTGAGGCCTGGGTGGTCCTGTCTCTCCTAAAGCCTGCCTGCTATCCAGCAAATGCACCACCATTATCAGACCGCCCAAACCATCACATTAAAGACCCTTGGTAGCTTTGGCCACAGTGGCACTCGCCTTTAATCCCAGCAGCTGGAGAGGCTGATTAGGAAGATGGCAGCTAAATTAGGAAGCAACTCAATCAAGGAGACAACTTATCCCAGAATCAAAACATGAATAAAAAAGAAACTAGGCCAGGGGTGTGCCTCAGCGGTTGTGCGCCCCTGGGTTGAATCCAGGTAACCCAAAATGAAAAAGTAGCTGGGCTTGGTTCAGCGCACTCCAGTCTTCCCAGCGGCTGTGGTGGCTGAGGAAGGAGGATTGCGAGTGCAAAACCAGCCTCAGCAAAAGCCAGGTGCTTAGCAAATCAGTGAGACCCTGTGTGGAAAAAAAAAAAATTACAACAGGGGTGGGGATGCGGCTCAGTGGCCCGAGTGCCCCTGAGTTCAATCTCAGTGGAAAACAAACTGGAGGTCAAAGAATGGCCTGTGGCCTGTGGGAGCGAGCACACAGATGGCAGCTCCAAATCATGCCTGAGTGATCGCAGTGTTCACAAGGGAGCACGCAGCCAGGGATCACCCCTAGGCCCTGCTTTCGGGAATACACACCAGGGACCCCAGGGACGCTAAACCTTGGCACCCTGGCCCTCAACCTGTGAGGTCACCTTCGCTCTCGCCTGCACCCTTTCCTTGTCCCAGGGAGTTAACCTGGGAGCCCAGCAAGCTCTTCCCCTCCTCAACCCTCCTCCTCAAAGCTTGCAGGGCCAAGGCTATCCAGAGCACCTCCACCCTGCCAAAGTATTCCACTCACCAGACACTCCCTGGGACTCCAGAAGCCTCCAGTGGATCTAGTGAAGTGCACAGCTCCAGCTGCGGTCCCTCTGCTCTTATAGGCGCGCCACGCCTCCACAGAGCCCCGCCCATACACAGCTTTGCATTGTGGGCCACAACCTGCCCTTTAGTGCTCCTCCTTTCCACCTTTCCTGGAAAGTGATCCTATATTCTCCTCCCTAAACCTCTCTCTTTGTAGGTTGGGTGTGGTTCATTGGAAGGTGAGAGGTTTTACATCCCTTTGATGGGCCCAGGGGCCTGGTTGGGCCCAGCTTCACAGAAAGAATGAAGCTACATTTCCCTTTTGAAAAAATTTTTTTGCAATGTACATGCAGGGATGGGACCCAGAGTCCAGGGCACGCTAAGCACGCACTTTACCAGTGACCTACGAATTTCCCTCTTTAATGTTTCCTCGCTTTATGGGCCTCGGTTACCCTAAAACAGCATGATGCCCATTCCCCCAATTTTTAATCTCCATTCTCTGGATCCGCAGGTTTTTCTCAACATAAGACTTTGGTCATCGTTAGGTCAGGCACACACCATTGCTGTCAGGTCTACTTAAGGGGTAGACGGTTTCCTCACACTCCCATCAATAACACCCATACCAGTTGGGGAGCAGGTGAAAATGCATGGGTGGGCTCAGGGTCTGTGGGACAGACCCATCATCCCAGGAATCGGGAGACTGAGGAAGAAGGGTCTCAGCCCCCACACCAGTGTGAGAAATGTAGGGAGAACATGTCTCCAAAAAATGGTGTTTATTTTATATTGTTCTCTGTTCTACTAAGTCATACATGACAGTAGACTGCACTTGGACACATGGTACATACACGGACGATGACTTCTCATTCTTCTGGTTGTCTGTGATGTAGAATTACACCAGTCATATATGCACACAGGGTAATGTCTGAATCACTCTGCAACCCTTCCTACCCCTTAACCCCTCCCCTTTTTGACTCCCCTCTGTCTGATCCAAACTACCCTGTCCTTCCCTAGCCACACAGCCCCCCCCCCCTTTGTTGTGAATTAGCATCTGCATGTCCTACAAAACATTCAGCCTTTGGGTTAATTGGGTTTGGTTTTTGAAAATTGTTATTTTTATTTGATTATCGTCCTTTGGGGCAGCACTAGGGACTGAACCCAGGGCCTTTTGATCACTTAGCTACATCCTCAAACTTTTTTATTTTTCATTTTGGCCCAGGGTCTCCCTAAACTGCAGAGGTTGGTCTTGAACTTGGGATCCTCCCACCTCAGCCTCCTGAATGTGGGATCCTACCCATGGACCACCACACTCATTTCAAAATGGATTTATTTTTTTAAAGCCCTGGGGACCTAGCTCAATGGTAGAGCCATCCTGGGTTCAATCTGGGTCGGGGCGGTGTGGGGGCGGGGGTTGGTGAGCACGAAATGAATAAAAATGGACTATTCTTTAATAGGCTAAATAATAGAATTGTGAGGGCTTTTGCCTTTCTGGAGGCCCAATAGCAATCTGGATTCAAGATGAACGTGTTGAGCATCTGGCCAAACCGCTTATGACTGTTTTTCTGCATTTCTGCATGAAGCCCTGAATTGGATCTCCAGCACAGCCAAAAAATAAAATTTTAGGAAAAGGTCATGGTGTTCAACGCCTGTGATCCCTGCGATTTTCGAGGCTAAACCTGGAAGATGGCAAATCCATGGACGGCTTGGGCAATTTAGTGAGACCCTATCTCAAAATAAAAAATACAAATGGCTGAGAAGGGCACACAATGGTGATTTGCCCCTGGTTCAATCCTCCAGAACAAACAAATGAAACATCATAAATCTATACTGTCTAGAAAAGGAAGGAATGTGTTTGTTAGCCTGCTGCCTAATATGTGACCACTCTGGGGCCCTTAAGGGTGGGTCTTCTTCCTTTTGGGAACTGTGGAGCCCTTCATAAGACCAAGAACTGATCTAGCAGCGAGAAGATAAATCTTTCCTCTTGGCCTAGAGTGGAAATGAGAGACTCAAAAATCAGCCTCCCAGGGCTGGGAGTGAGGAGTTTATAGGTGTAGGGTAAAAGTACAGAGGGAGAGGGATAGGCTAATAAGGAAAAGAATGCCCAGGTCTTGGAATCAGAGGCTGACTGGACCATTCTGGCCCCCATTTGACATCCAAGGACCCTGGACCCGCCAACCCAGGCAGGAAAATGTGACCTTCAAGAACCCTCTGCTCCAGGACAATCAAGATTAGGGTGGAGCTGGGTGAGGTGGCTCCTGCCTGTAATCCCATTTGGAAGGAAAAGCAGGAGGATTGCAAATTAGAGGTGAGGCTCAGCAATTTTGTGAGACCCAGAGCAATTTAGCAAGAGTCTTTCTCAAAATAAAAAGAATAAAATAGGAGGGCTGGGAATATCCCATGTGGTGGGACAGGCCTCTAATCCCAGCAGCTCTGGAGCCTGAGGCGGGAGGATTGAGAGTTCAAGGCC